GTGCATGTACGAGACATCATGCAAGCCCAGCGTAGTACATTGCATCTTAAACGACAGGACTTTCAGGTAGATGAGATCCGGGGAGGGATAACATTATCACTAGACCTCAAGAAGGCCTTTGACCTTCTCCCCAGGCATCGTTTAAGAGAGGCTCTTGAAGCCACATCCGCCGAGCCCAGCCTCATCTGGACAATACTCAAGACACACGATTGGGCAAGCATGCGTTTCCGCCTCGGGCACCACGAGACCTGCATTGGGTAAAGCAATGGAGTGCGTCGAGGCTGTGGCCTAGCACCAAGCTTGTGGGTATTGTACACCTGCCTTATACTCAAAGCCCTACAGCACCGCATCCCATCCAAGTGCATAACTGCTTTCGCGGATGATTTGCTGCTACAGTGGACTGTCCAAACTCCACAGCAATTCCACCAGGTCTGTAAGGACATAGGCTTCGTGCTACGCGCCCTTGCGGAATTCGGAATGCGCATCAGCACCGAGAAGACAGTGCTACTGCTTGGCCTCAAGGGCACTGCAGCACATCGCTTAATCGGACAGTACATCAGGCAGGACCCAAAACGAGGCAAGCTGTTCCAAGTGCCTGTGGAGAAGGAGGGTGCTCCAACCCAAGTCAGCTTGCCTGTGGTAGACAGTCACACCTATCTGGGCATCAAACTTTCATATCATAACCCGGAATCAGCCACATTGGGGTACCGCCTCGGACAGTCCTGGAGCGCTTTCCGACGTCTACTCCCGGCACTGCGCTCCAAAAGCCTCACTTTGCGGCAGCGCCTACTGATATGGAGGGCGTGCCCTTTTGCCAGTCTTCTGTATGGTCTAGACTGTGTACGCCTCACCTACGAGGACTTGCAGAAATTTCAGAGCCATGCGGTTAGACAGCTTAGGACACTTTGCAGGGCCCCAGTGTTTATGACGCGAGAAAACACCCCCACATTTCTTCAGCGTTTCTGCCTGCAAAACCCGGTGGATGTATTGCCAGACAGATGTGAGGCGAGAGCCCAGACCGTTCAGGCTAGACCAGTCACGGCCATCTGGCCTGCAACAACTCACCGCTGGTGGGTGAAGCTGCTTCAGCACTTCCAGGA